TAACCCTAACCCTAGCATACTATGAAATCCTAACCATACCAAATTAGCAAAGAAACATAACTTGATTCAACACAAATTTCCAAATCCAAGCAAAAACTAGGGTTTCCCCAAACTAGCTAGATTTGAGCAAATGTGACAATTCCTATGGATGAAAACAAGGGGATCGGAGGAGATTACCTTAAGGGAGGGGTTGGCTTCGAAATCCATGGTCAAATACTCCGAATTTGCAAGATTTGATAAGGATTTGAGACGGGGGAGAGGGGAAGAGAGGAGGGGCGCAAGGCTAAGGGTTTGGGTGGGGTGGGGTGTATGGGGTGGGGGTGGGAGGGGAGAGAGGGTGGGGACAGCCTAAGTGGCACACAGACAGTGCAGCGCCTAAGATACGGGCGCTAAACATTACAAGTGTAGCGCCCTAGCCTTAGGCGTTGCAATGCCGTCTATGGGGCCGCAACTGGACCAGGGCTGCCACGCTGGCTGGATCTGCGACGCCTAAGGGAAGGGCGCTGCACTATAGGGTGCGGCGCCTAGCTGTCGGGCGCCACACTAAAGGGTCAGCAGAGTAAAAAAAATTCGAGAGCAGGTCAGTTTGTGATTTGATTTCGGCCTCAGGTCAAATATGTGATTTCTGCCTGGCAATTGCGTCGCCGCGACTGCTGCCTTGCCTATTTTCTGGTTGTAATTTTGCCATCTTCTCCAAATGATTGTGTGCAAAATAGTGGTGTGGTTGTCTTGTAAGAACATACCCCCTTAGTTTTTAAATATAAGTTTTTTAGAGACTCCAATAAAAAGTACATATGAATGTATATAAATATATTTTAGAGTGTAGATTCACTCATTTTGCTCCGTATGTTTAGGAACGAAGGTTAGTAGTAGTTAGGTCATGGAGCAATCAAATTAAAGCTATCATTAAGTTCCTTTTGGCTGGTTGGCTGGCTGATATAGGGTGGAAGGCTAGGCATTGCATGGAACATTTTAGTCCCATACCTCTAGGAGCCTCTAGGAGAGGGGCATCATAACCAACTTATAAGGGAGGCCTTCCATTATTTTATAAATACTAGAACCACATGAAGACTCTTGATACAAGAGAACATACACATGGCGCGTGCTCCCGCGTGTATATTCCTGACTCTTAGGACGCTTGGCGCGGTGATGGTTGATTCGATATTACTAGTTTTTTTGGGGGGGGGGGGTTGATCAGTAACTGCGCACTTAGGTTATCCATGTTCTGTAGAATTTTTCGGGTTATTTGCAAATCACAGGTCCATCCTTGTTATATATGATGATTTTTGGGCATGTATTGCTTGCCTATTTGGACCATGTTGTAGTTCTTCAACATCAGCAACAACACGCAGCTCAAGGGGGTTGGGATCTCCGAAATAATGATCGCTGGATTGCCAACCTCCGAGTCTACATCGCCAATAATGCTAGCATCACCGAGATGCTCTCGCGTTTTGTCGGCTATTCTGACATGTTCACCGTCCTCGACACTCTCTACTTGGCGGACAAGTTGCTCAACGGTGAGGTTTTGGCGATGTTCTCAAGCCGAACCCTCACTCGCTTGGATATGAGCAGTGAGATAAAACTAAGTACAATATGTTGGGCATTCACTAACGAAAATGCCAAATAGAGGCCGATCTTCATGGAGGCCTAAATTTGTAATTCCTTGGTGGAGCTTCGCTTTGTCATTATTCATCATCGATCCACCGGGCCAACATCGGGGGCATAGATGACTTCATTGGTTGGCATCATGCATGGGATTACTTTTGTACTGTTGACGAGGTTGTTGCTCGACAACAAGTGAGACCGTTGGATTCCTTGGCGTCGTGAGCTATGTGAACACCAGGGGGCACTGCCCTCCCCCCTCCCCCCAAAAAAAAACTAAATTTGGAGAAAATGTGAAGGATTTTTTTTTGCAGGCCTTAGATGTGGAAAATACGTTTACCCCCCTCAGATCTTCCAATATATGAAAAAATGTGTATACAAATTATCTAGATGAAGTGATTAACTGATGAGACACTCCCAATTTCCCTTCCTGAAGTAGATACGTTCTTGGCATGGGCTCCTGTGATTGTGCTTCCGTGAAAGAACAAAGCACACCTAATACTTGTGATTTGTAGAGGTGGCCACTTCCAAATCTCCGCTTCTTCCGTTGATGACAGGGCCATGAGAAGGAGCAAAGACCTTAATGCAACTTCCTGTGGCAATAAGCATATCCTTCATCCAAGCAAATGTTATGTGTCGGGGAGTCAAAATAAATATAGTTATTCATACTAACTTATATATTTTGTGCATTAAATGTTTTTTCTAAAATCATGATGATGCATGATGCTGTGGGACTGAGATGGACTTCAGGGTTTTGGATAGATGTGATGTGGAGAAGTGGTTGAGGATTTTTGGAGCAATATCACTAAGCACTTGAGCAATTGAGTCATGATCAAAACCTCATCCCCTTTTAATAGTATTGGCTTTTCTATGAATTTAATGTGATCTTGGATCACTTAACCAAAAGTGTAGAGTCTTGGGGCTGCAATCCTTGTCTTTGGCGTTTTTAGGGGTCCACAATCACTAGTCCTTGCCAAGCCAATCATTGATCTTCTCTGAAATCTATTATCAATGAGCATTAGATCAATGACTTATATGTTTTTATTATTACCAAAACCACCCGGGGACTAGTTGCACTTTCAATCTCCCTCTTTTTATTAATTGATAACAACATATAGATCAAAGCTTTGACAAATGATATAATCAATAAAATACATCATCGCTTTGACAAGTATGTGATAAGCAAGAGCTCCTCCTAAATTTGTGCATTATAAAAAAATTGTGTTTGAATGCAAATGCACAATCGGTTAGGATCATAGGTTACTCTTTCATGCCACATACATCTTAGTGGAGCGCTCAAAATGATATGATTGCAACGTAATAAGCACTCATCACCAACCAAACAAGTGAATGATCATACAAAGAGCATATATGAATAGATATTTAAGCAAGCATAGCATCAAAGTGTGGTATGATCAAGGCAAAGCAACGTAGTCTCATACATGCATCAAACAAAAGTATCTCAAAGTAGCACGAAATCCAAGAAACCAAATGAGAAAAAAACAAAGCACTCTCTCTCAAAGCCTAATGATCTATACTAATTCTCCCCCTTTGGCGGCAAGTACCAAAATGTTTGAAGGAGTATAGAGCTAATCGTCGCTCTAGCCTCGATTTCCGGTAGCTCCCGGTGATGAAGTCCTCTGACTTGCAGCGCCGGTGTGCGTAGACGTCGGAGTGGAGAGAAGAGTGTCAGCAAACATCTCTGCTGAAGTCTGTTGAGCTGGAGGTGTGGAGACAACATGAGGCACTGAACGAGCAACCGTAGATGCAACAGCTGGAGCTGAGAGTGTAGCTCTGGAAGTGACTGGTACTGCTGCTGATCTAGGCATAGTTTGGAACTGTGTGGTCGTGCGAAGACCTGTGTCATGGTGCTCATCATCATCACTGGACTATGTATTGGCTTCATCCACCTCTTTCTTTCAGACTCTCTATGGTGCTCTGCATCTCTGTAACCTTGACATCAAGATCATAGAACTTCATCTCATGATCCTCTCAAGGCTCTTATGGTTCTGTGTGAGGTCGGCCAAACTCAAAATTTTGTTTTAAAGTCGATCTATTTTGTTTACTACCCGCAAAAAACTCTATTTCGTTTACTTGCTCGTGGAGTCAGATCCAAATGTCTACAATCTGCATAATAGAATTCAGCTTAACTGTCACGTCTATGCGGCCGTTGAGATTGGGATTTGTCATGGTGTTAGTGCACCACTCACTGCTTGTCATAGTTTTTCTGTTTAGGTATAAAACATTGAAGCTTAGAACTACTATCTCAAAAATATGTCTCCCATATATATTTGGACTCTCCTAAGTTGTTCATTTTTTCTCAGATGATTGTACCATTTGTGTTTCTTTGTAAATAGTTCAACTATTTGTTGTTGATCTGGGCAGGCGCGGCAAAGCACACCTTCATGCTATAGTGAGATGAGATGGATAATGCCTGAAATTGCCATGTCACCAACGACAGGGCATATCTTCCTCCACTCGGCGAATCAAGTCCAGGGCACATCTTCCTCCACTCGTGCACCAGTTCGGCTCGCCAACGATAGGACGCCGTTGTTGGTGAGCCACTGGCGGGTGCAGGGTACGACGTCCTAGGGTGGACTAGCGAAACCAAATGACGTAAATAAATATAAACATGTTGTGCTGTGCCGACCTGTGTGCTCGGCCTCATGGCCCAGACACGCCCATGGCGTGCCATGTGCCAGGTATGGCCCGTTTAGCATGTGTCATGCCAATTTCACGTCGCGCCATGCTAGCGTGGTAACAGGCCGGCCCGGTTTGCACGACCCAAATGGCCAGGTTTGCGTTGCACCGACTGCCCAGACAGAATTGGTGCTTGTTGTGATGGTGGGAAACATGAACCAACTTCATGTGTCATTGACGGCTCAACTTACCAAGTCCGATGCTAGATGATCCGAGTGAAAGAAGCAATGCTCGAACCAACTTTATTTTGTTCAAAAATAAAAACCTTGTGTGTCCTTGACAGCTCAGCTTACCGACACGACGCCAACCACCTCATCGGTGAATCAAGAGCAGTCACACCTGTTCGGCTCGCCAACGACCGGCTGCCGCTGTTGGTGAGTCATCGGCGGGTGCTGGAGTACGACGTCCTAGGGTGGACTAACGATACGAAACGAAATGACATAATAGTAGCGTAGATATACATCCAACCATTGCGATGGATGAGGAACAGACAAATTACCCACGCAATCACACCATAATGTAAGACGTTTTGCAAGTAACAAATTTAAACATGCCTGGAAACATCAATTATATGTGCCTAAGAATAGACAAGAGTGTGTTACTACGTTATTGATAATAACCTGCCCGTACGTGTGAGTACTAGAGTACATGCATGCGTGCATGCATGCTATGATAAAACATTAATTAATTACTACTAGCTAGCATGCAAATCCAACATTGGGATTTCCATCAAGGGTGACCGCCGTCCCGGGGGCGAACTTGGGGTGTCCACAGAGGTTGTTGTATGATGCATCGAAGACGCGGAGGTTGACAAGCTTGGTAACGTCTGGCAGGGGCCCGAAGAAGCCGCTGTGATCCAAGTGAGCCTCCACAAGGTTGACCATGTCGGGGATGAACAAGTCGAGGCGGCCGGTGATCTTATCTCGGTCGTTGCGCTGGCCACCGACATCTAGATACCTGATATTGCTGTTAGCGCCGAAACCGGTGCCGACGGCCCCAGACATCCTGTTCCTTGCGAGGGACAGCCTCTCGAGGGCGGGGGACAAGGCGACGTCGCCCAAGAAATTGGGGAAGTTGTTGTATATGGAGGCGTTGTTGGCGGAGAAGCTGCGTAGGGCCACTGGTGGAAAAACAGGCTTCCGTCCAGCCCCATAAGTCGCAAAGCTGTAGGAACCGCGACTAATGGGACCTTTAGTCGCGGTTCTGGAGGTGAACCGCGACCAAAGGCCTGGGCCCAGGGCGCTCGGTGGCCAGCTGGCGCACGTGAGGGTCTTTAGTCGCGGTTGGCCAGGACAACCGCGACTAAAGGCCTTCGGGCACCTTTAGTCACGGTTTGCCAGGCCAACCGCAACTAAAGCCCCTCCCCTATATATACCCATCCAGCAGCCAACACTTAGCCATTTGGAGCCATTCTCTTCACAAGTGGGTGTAGGTTTGCTTTTGGTTCCTCTTATGCACATAAGGTGTTTGATGAAATGCCCCAAGAGCATGAAACAAACATGACATGAAGTGTTGGAGCCACACTCCTCGATCGCGGTTAGCAACTTGATGAACCTTTGATGTGTCATTGATAAAATATGCATGTGTGCAGTTCATTGTTTAATTTATATTGTTTGTAGCTAGTTAGTTTAGCAAATGCATGATGGTTAATTATATATTTTATATTATAATAATGCAGATGAATCGGCAATGGATGTACGGTAACCGACTCTCCGGCGAGTTCACTACGGGTTTGAAAGATTTCCTCGTAGTGGCTAATGCGAACAAGCAGGGGGGTTTTGTTATCTGTCCATGTGTTATCTGTAAGAATCAGAAGGGTTACTCTTCCTCAAGAGATGTTCACATGCATCTGCTTCGGCACGGTTTCATGCCAAGCTATAATTGTTGGACCAAGCATGGAGAAAGAGGGGTTATAATGGAAGAAGATGAAGAAGGGGATGATTTCATCGATGAAAGCTATCTTGCTCATTTCGGTGATACTTTCATGGAGGATGCTGAAGGTGAAGGGGAAGGTGAAGAAGAGGCACGTGATGATCCCGTTGATGATCTTGGTCGGACCATTGCTGATGCACGGAGACGCTGCGAAACTGAAAAGGAGAGGGAGAATTTGGATCGCATGTTAGAGGATCACAGAAAGGCGCTGTACCTCGGATGCGATGATGGTCTGAAAAAGCTGGGCTGCACACTGGATTTGCTGAAATGGAAGGCAGAGGCAGGTGTAGCTGACTCGGCATTTGAAAACTTGCTGAAAATGTTGAAGAATATGTTTCCAAAGGATAACGAGTTGCCCGCCAGTACGTACGAAGCAAAGAAGGTTGTCTGCCCTCTAGGTTTAGAGGTTCTGAAGATACATGCATGCATCAACGACTGCATCCTCTACCGCGGTGAATACGAGAATTTGAATGAATGCCCGGTATGCACTGCATTGCGTTATAAGATCAGAGGCGATGACCCTGGTGACGATGTTGAGGGCCAGAAACCCAGGAAGAGGGTTCCCGCCAAGGTGATGTGGTATGCTCCTATAATACCACGGTTGAAACGTCTGTTCAGGAACAAAGAGCATGCCAAGTTGTTGCGATGGCACAAAGAGGACCGTAAGTCGGACGTGGAGTTGAGACACACCGCAGATGGAACGCAATGGAGAAAGATCGACAGATGGTTCAAAGATTTTGCAGCTGACGCAAGGAACATAAGATTTGCTCTAAGTACGGATGGCATGAATCCTTTTGGCGAGCAGAGCTCCAGCCATAGCACCTGGCCCGTGACTCTATGCATCTACAACCTTCCTCCTTGGTTGTGCATGAAGCGGAAGTTCATTATGATGCCAGTGCTCATCCAAGGTCCGAAGCAACCCGGCAACGACATCGATGTGTACCTAAGGCCATTAGTTGATGAACTTTTACAGCTGTGGGGTGGTGTCCGTGTGTGGGATGAGCACAAACAAGAGGAATTTGACCTACGAGCGTTGCTTTTCGTAACCATCAACGATTGGCCTGCTCTTAGTAACCTTTCGGGACTGTCAAATAAGGGATACAATGCATGCACGCACTGCTTACATGAGACTGAAAGTGTACATTTGCCAAATTGTAAGAAGAACGTGTACCTTGGGCATCGTCGATTTCTTCCGAAAATTCATCCAGTAAGAAAGAAAGGCAAGCATTACAACGGCAAGGCAGATCACCGGCCGAAGCCTGCGGAACGCACTGGTGCTGAGGTATTTGATATGGTCAAGGATTTGAAAGTGGGGTCCTGGCGGACAATCAGTTCCGAAGGGAGCTGACGGGCACGCAGCCATGTGGAAGAAGAAATCTATATTCTGGGAGCTAGAATATTGGAAAGTCCTAGATGTCCGCTCTGCAATCGACGTGATGCACGTTACGAAGAATATTTGCGTGAACCTCCTAAGCTTCTTGGGCGTGTATGGGAAGAAAAATGATACAAAGGAAGCACGGCAGGACCAGCAACGTTTGAAAGACCCTGATGACCGGCATCCGGAATGGTTTCAAGGTCGTGCCAGCTACGCTCTGACCAAAGAAGAGAAGGTCATCTTTTTTGAATGCCTGAGCAGTATGAAGGTCCCGTCTGGATTCTCGTCCAATATAAAGGGAATAATAAACATGGCGGAGAAAAAGTTCCAAAACCTGAAGTCTCACAACTGCCACGTGATTATGACGCAATTGCTTCCGATTGTTTTGAGGGGGCTCCTGCCGGAAAATGTTCGAGTAGCCATTGTGAAGCTATGTGCATTCCTCAATGCAATCTCTCAGAAGGTAATCAATCCAGAAGTTCTACCACGGTTACAGAACGATGTGATCCAATGTCTTGTCAGTTTCGAGTTGGTGTTCCCGCCATCCTTCTTCAATATTATGACGCACCTCCTGGTTCACCTAGTCGAAGAGATTTTCGTTCTCGGTCCTGTATTTCTACACAATATGTTCCCCTTCGAGAGGTTCATGGGAGTATTAAAGAAATATGTTCGTAACCGTGCTAGGCCAGAAGGAAGCATCGCCAAGGGCTATGGAAATGAGGAGGTAATTGAGTTTTGTGTTGACTTTGTTCCTGACCTTAAGCCGATTGGTCTTCCTCGATCGCGGCACGAGGGGAGACTAAGTGGAAAAGGCACGATCGGAAGGAAATCAACGATATGTATGGACGGACATTCTCTGACTGAAGCACACCACACTGTACTGACCAATTCCAGCTTGGTGGCTCCGTACTTTGAGAAACACAAGAATATTTTACGTTCTGACAACCCGGGGAAGCCTGAATCCTGGATTAGGAAGGCCCACATGGAGACTTTCGGCAGTTGGTTGAGAAAACATTTAATGAATGACAATGATGTTGTAGATCAGCTGTACATGTTGGCCAAGACACCATCTTCGACTATAACGACTTTCCAAGGGTACGAGATAAATGGGAATACATTTTACACGATCGCCCAAGATAAAAAGAGCACCAACCAAAACAGTGGTGTCCGCTTTGATGCAGCAACCGAGAATGGGCAAGAGGTCACATATTATGGTTACATAGAGGAGATATGGGAACTTGACTATGGACCCTCCTTTAAGGTCCCTTTGTTCCGGTGCAAATGGTTCAAGCTAACAGGAGGTGGGGTAAAGGTGGACCAGCAATACGGAATGACAATGGTGGATTTCAACAATCTTGGTTACCTTGACGAACCATTCGTCCTAGCGAAAGATGTCGCTCAGGTTTTCTATGTGAAGGACATGAGTAGCAAACCGAGGAAACGGAAAGATAAGAAAACGATCAGTACATCATGCGATGATCCAAAGCGCCACATTGTTTTTTGATATATTATTTGTATTTTTAGAATTTTGAATTGAATTAGTTTTATTTTTCTGAATTTTTTGATATATTATTTGTATTTTTAACATTTTGAATTGAATTAGTTTTATTTTTCTTAATTTTTTGATATATTATTTGTATTTTTAGAATTTTGAATTGAATTAGTTTTATTGTTCTGAATTTTTTGATATATTATTTGTATTTTTAGAATTTTGAATTGAATTAGTTTTATTTTTCTGAATTTTTTGATATATTATTTGTATTTTTAGAATTTTGAATTGAATTAGTTTTATTTTTCTGAATTTTTTGATATATTATTTGTATTTTTAACATATTGAATTGAATTAGTTTTATTTTTCTTAATTTTTTGATATATTATTTGTATTTTTAGAATTTTGAATTGAATTAGTTTTTTTTCTGAATTTTTTGATATAATATTTGTGTTTTTAACATATTGAATTGAATTAGTTTTATTTTTCTTAATTTTTTGATATATTATTTGTATTTTTAGAAATTTGAATTGAATTAGTTTTTTTTCTGAATTTTTTGATATAATATTTGTGTTTTTAACATATTGAATTGAATTAGTTATTTTTTTCTGAATTTTTTGATATATTATTTGTATTTTTAAGATTTTGAAAAAGAAAAAGTATTTGGAAAATACCTTTAGTCGCGGTTGGCCTGCCCAACCGCGACTAAAGGTTGTTGCTCGCGGGCCCGCCAAAAAAGTCCTTTAGTCGCGGATCGCCTCCCCAACCGCGACTAAAGGTTACCCTTTAGTCGCGGGTCGCCTCCCCAACCGCGACTAAAGGTTACCTTTAGTCGCGGGTCGCCTCCCCAACCGCGACTAAAGGCCCTTTAGTCGCGGGTCTCCTCCCCAACCGCGACTAAAGGTGGGGGGCTATAAATACAACCGCCCGACCCGTCG